GGAGAAACTGGAGAACGTCCAGAGTAGAACAAAAATGATTAAAGGTCTAGAAAACAAGAGCTATAAGGCAGGCAGAAGGAACTGGGCTTGTTTAGTTTGGGAAAGAGAAGATTAAGAGGGGACAGGATAACATTTTTAAGGTATCTAAAAGGATGTCACGAGGAGGAGGGGAAAATTGTTCTCCTTGGCCTCTGATGATAGGACAAGAAGCAATGGGCTTAAACTGCAGCAAGGGAGGTTTAGGTTGGACATTAGGAAAATCTTCCTGTCTGACTCAGGGTGGTTAAACACTGGAATAAATTGCCTAGGGAGGTTGTGGAATCTCCATCACTGAAGGTATTTAAGAGCAGGTTAGACAGACACATATCAGGAATGATCTAGACAGTGTTTGGTCCTGCCGTGAGGGCAGGGGACTGGACTTGATGATTTCCTGAGGTCCCTTCCAGTTCTGGTATTCTATGATTCACAGCCAAGGGGAGCGATGAGAAGTGGCATCCCAGCCCATGGTGCTTCCTACAATTCGTCTTGGCTGCATATGTGAACTGGAGCCAATGGGAGCTGCAAGGATCCATGGGTATGGAGCCAGTAAATAAACACACCAGAGTGGCAAGTTGACAGGTTTCTCAGAGTGGTTTCACGGACCACTTTGAGAAACGCTAAGTTAGTTGGATGTCCACTTATGGGTGTAGCCAAGTTTCCTGCAGTCCCATGAAGTTTGTTTACAGCCATGAGTCCTGGCTCAGTGTTCTGTGTTATTTAGCTCTAATTTACCCTCTAAATGTCTTCTGAGAGCTCAGTAAACAGTGGAAATGTTGGTATGGCTGCTAGACAACTTCCCGGTGTTGAGCAAATTCACTTTAGTAGATTTGCTGAAATCTTTGAGAGCATCCCATAACCCCAGTGTGGCAAAACAATGAGTACACAGCACAGAATTGCATGCAGAGTTGGAGGAAAAGCAAGAAGGGTCTCATTTCCGAAAAACATGTATTCATTAAAAGGGGGAAAAGTATAGAAATGTGGCACAAACAGTTGTGTTTAAATTAAAGTTGTCTGAAGAGGTAGCCCTAACTTGCACTCTTACTGTTTGGATGAATCTGATACGACTATTTGCAAGTATTACATACCGTGCAAAAAAATCTCTGAGAAACCTCAGCAGCATATGATCCTGTATGCAACTTGGAGAAGAAATAAAGTATCTTCTGAAGGGAAATTTTATTTGGTTCTAGATGGATGTACAGTATGCATACAATTACAAAACAGTATATAGGCTCAAACTAAAACTTCATATGCAAAAACCTTTGAGCTTTGGATGTATTCTAAACTCCAGATCTACATTTAGTGAATAGATAAAAAGTATCAAACCAAAATCTGAATCTAGAAGTTGGTTCTTTGAAATCTGAATTTCACACACATGCTTAGCTCCCTCTCCATTTTTCAAAGATAGATGTCCCAGTTAGGATCCTGTTACAGGGCAAGTGGCCCCTTTAAGGGGAGTCAGGGCCCAAGATGCCCAAAGCAGTCTTCTGAAGTCCCTCCTAGGAGTAACAGGCTGCCCCAGCTGGCCTATTAACAGCTAACTAGTAAACAAGCAGCTGGACTTAAAGGTTACCCAATCTCAATTAGAGGAAGCACTTCCAAGGAACAGGACGTTCCAGTGGAGAAGAGCTCTCAAGAGAGCTCACTAGAGCCGAAAGATAGAAGATATGCCCCTCGAGATGGAAAAACAGCAGCTGGCAGATATCCACCAGGACCTGGTCTCAGCCAGAGGGTCTCCAAGACAGTGGCAGGAAGCCCAGCCTGACAGGAAACATATACTACCTTGGGGAAGAACTGCAGATGGTGATTCTCCCTGGACCCAGACTCTGGAGAAGGACCCTATCCAGTTTAGCAGCAAGAGACCCAAATCCAGCAGTAGGGACATGAGTCAAGAGAGGCATAGGGGAGTGGAATAGGTCAGCAGTGGTCTCAGATGGACTTGGTCTTCCAGGCTGGGATGAAGATTTTGCTTACATTTTGTATTAGTTTTTCTTCTTTATTATTGAGACCCTTCAAAGGGGGCACTTCTTCCTACCTAAAGTTCTTTGTGGAATTGTTTATACCCCAACTGAAGAGAAGTCAAAGCAGGATTCAATCATACATCATGCCCAACCAAGAGAGGGTGCATTAAGGGTGAAAGATCTCATAACATGTCCTCATTTCAGTGCTAAGATATCTAAAAGGAATATTTGGGGTGTTCAAATGCCAGTCTGAGGCTACATCTAGACTATGTAGGAAGGAACGCATTTGCTCTTCCGCTTTTTTTTGTGTAAGAGCAAACACGTTCTTTCGGGGATCCCTGTATTCCTCTTTTATTTATGTATAATGGGAGAAAGGAGGCTTTTCCACCATTTGGCCCCAACTAGATGGGGTCAAATGGCAGAAAAGCCTCTTCCAAAAAAAAAGTGGAAAAAGCTAAGCAAAATGAGAGCGGATTTTGTGTAGCTTTTTCTGCAAAAAACATTGCAGCCTAGACCTATTCTGAGTGTTCAGATGCAGCATTAGGTGCTTTAGTTTGATGATAGGTCCATAATTACACACCGGTGACAGACTCAGTACACCTGTAATTTTCCAAACCACAATTATCTAAAATTAGTTTTGATCCAAAACTCGGTTGTATCCTTCAGCATTACTGAAAATTATCTTCATGTCCTGAGTGCTCATTGTTCCTCATGATATGAATGACTCAGGTTGTGCTGTCTATATCTAGTATACATTTGAGAGAGTTTGTCTATCTCTGTTTATTTGTTCAAGAACTCCTCCTAAGCGATAAGAGCTAGGACCACCAGATTCGGTATACAGCTTCCTCTTAGAACTTAAAGCAAGGTCAGGGTTTGGTTGTGCCAGTGAAATGGGATGCACTTGGAATGGGATTGCTTCTCATAAAACCACACAGTAAAGAGAAAGAATCGCCAGGCAAGTGAAAGGGGCTGGCGGGAGGCACGTCCCCCTGTCTGGGACTGTCCCAGCTATGAGCCTCACACTCCCCTCCAGATTCCCTTTAGGGAGTATGACTGGGGATGGAAGCTCCACCCCCTATTTCTATAGGAACACTGCTGGCTGTTCTCTTTCATCAGGGACCAAGAGGAAAGTGCAGCTTGCTGCACTACTCACACAGGCTGGGGAGTGTCAGGGCGCACAAATATGGACTTGCCCCAGCCAGAGGATGTGCACACCTCCCCTGGCTGTGCCACTAGATCTGCAGCAGGCATGGATTGGTGCTTTTCATCTAGCCCCAAGCTGTGGTGGTCAGAGAAGACTGGAGTAGTCTTCTCTTCCTGGGCCAGTCTGCATACTGAACCCCTCATCCCTAGCCCCACTCTAGAGCAGTGATTTAAATGAGGAAGAACAACAATTAATTGAAAAGGAGCTGAGCAATGCAGGGTAAATCTTCTAGTATAAGCTTTCAAATAAAGATCTCTTACATATCATATACAAATAGAGCTGAGTATACATTTTACATAATTATCAATTGAAATGTTTAAATTATTTTTAGCAGCATTTTGTTTTCCATAATTTCTTCTTTTCTCCATTTATTTCAGTAGGTCCCTGAGCTAAAAGAAAGTAACCATGTGAATTATAGTCAAGAGGCTAAATTCATCCCAGAGTAAGAACTTTAAATCTGATTGTATAGAAGACAAATCAAGTGAACCCTTCTAAATGTGTATTAGACATCATGTTTAACAATGTGCCCTTCTCTTCCATAGTCTTACTCCAACATGATGTGCCTGCGTACACCCAGATAGCAACCATTATGAGCAGGTATCACAATCCATTTTCACCAAAGCTTTTTTCTGGTCTTCAAGGACAAGGGTTCTCTATGATGTTGCCAAACAAATTAATCATATGAGCTTATAGATATAAGCTTGGCAGGAACTAGCTTCATAATTGGCACTGCTTTTTGTACCTATATTGCCATGCATTGATCTATAGGAGCTTGAGAGCAGTTCACCCAACTTTCATCTCTTCTTGCAACAAGGCCAGCCTATTGTCACGTCAGTTTAAATCTTCAGGATGTGCTTCAGCTAGATCCTCAGATGTCACCTCTTTCCGTGACATGGATCAGGCATGTAGCTATAAACACCTACCACCACAATTTTTAGGCTCTGAACATTGTAGAAGAGGCATAAATCACCCATCAGGCTTTTGCCTTCTCTTTTACCTCCTCAAAAGTAGCAATACACCCCAAAGTATATACTGACTGCTAGTAGCACACCACTTACTGTATCAGCAAGGAATATTTAAGCTTAAATGATTCCTGGAAAATATGGACCAAACATTTGTGAGGGTTTATATTTTTAACACATATAGCAATAGGTTCAGATAGCCTAGTACAGATATGTTTTAAATAGAGGTGGCCTTGAATCAAACTCTTCATCTAAACATCCAAATTCTGGGAAAGTTCATGTCCGGATCTGAACTTTGTGGCTCAGGCCCAACTCTAGTTTTAAAATTCCTATTACACTTGGGAGTACCATAGAGAGAAACATGGCTGGCCACTGGAAAAGGGAGCATTTTGCATAGTCTGTTCCTTGAACCCTCTAGCTGGCATAGGATCATAGTAGAAAGCTCCGAAATGGAAAAATCACAATGTGGGTCTTGGCATGAGGTTTCTCTTAGATCTGAGCCCATGCTTTTCACTTTAGACATTCAACTGTGCTAATCAGTAATTAGTATAGGGCTGCTTTTCAAACATTAAATTAAGCAAGATAAGCTAAGGCAAATACTATATTGCATTGCAATTCATGCCTCTATAAAATCCTGTGTTTTCTTTTTTAAATGCTTACAAGTAGATCATTTATATTGGTTCAGTTTTCTTTAAAATCTTATTAATGCATATTTTTCATGATCTATTTCCCCATCAAAGCTCATTTCATATGCAGCATCTGGTGTTTGATGAAGTATTGCTTTTATTTAATTTTACAGCTCAGTTGACTAAAACAAAAGGCGGTTGAGTGACTTACCCAAGGTCATTGGATGAGTCAGTGTCTCAAACAGGATAGCAATCAGTAACACTCTTGGCTTCTAGTTTCAGTCCTTGTCCTCATTATATGATCTAGACTGCCTTTTATTTTCTTTCTTGCGTAATGTCAGTGCTTGAGAAAATGAAAGACTGATTAGAGCCAGACACAGTGTGAGCAGAAGATGGGCAATTTTCACTGCACACAGCTGTGCCAATCCACTCAGTCTTGACTGTAAACAATCTTGAGCCCCAAGACAGCTTTGCCAATATATTTCAGTTCTGGCCTAGAATACTATTGATATTCCCACTCTGGGCCTCTGCCGAGTAGAGACTGCCAGTTGGGCCAGATTGAGCACTGGTTGTGCAATGTACACAAAAAAGGTCAAAGAACTCATTTTCACTTGTGACCCAAGCCCGTCAGCTCATTAACACTGTAGAAAATTGAAAAAGGATGATCAGAGCAAGAAAGATTCAAACCAGCATCTGGGACATACTAATATTACACAGGATTAATTCAGATAATATTTAGAGAACAATTCAAATGGATGTTACTTTGTCCATATAAAATCATATTGCTTGATACAGAATGGATTGCCTGCCACATTATATTTGAGCCAAAACTGAGGCATAGGGCCTTCCCATACTGTGTGTATGGTGACATTAGACTGTAAATGTACTGTACAAGGAACTGTACAGAGAACATGATACACAGGGACTCAAGTTACATTCTCAGGTGGAAATATAGCTCCTTCAGAATAAAGCTTTGTCCGATGTTTGGGACTTGAATCAATAAGTTACTACACTGAAGCAAATAAAAATACACAAAAAGTTACCTTAACTGACACTAAGGCTGTATTTACGCAACAGGGACAATCGTGACATAGCAATGGTGTTGTAGCTAATACAACCTGGAATTTTAGATGCAGCCTACAGCAACAGAAAGGGATTTTCTGGAACTGCAGGAACACCACTTACTTGAGTGATGGTAGCTAGGCCAACAGAAACATTCTTCTATCCACTTAGCTGTGTCTATAACAGGGATAAGGTCAACCTAGGTACAGTGCTCAGGAGCAGTGGCAGCCTGTCAATACAGGTGAACTAGGCGGTCAGCTAGGGCACCAAGATAAACGGCTGTTCAGGGCTTTGTAGGCGGGGGTGCCGATCGTGCGCTTTGCCTAGGGCGCCAGTTGCCGGCAGCTCGTCTAGGGCCGCTCCTGCTCAGGAGTGTGGATTTTTCACACCCTCAAGCATAGTAGCTATGCTGACCTAAATTTTAAGGATACACCAGGTCTGGGACCTTGACCCTCAAAAGTCTGTTAAATTCAGGATCACTGGAACTGAGGGTTACCACGTTAGTTTGGAAATACTGAATCAGTCACTGACCTGGTCTACATTTAAACTTTAGGTGGACAGTGAGTGCTCAGTTGGGAAAAATCCACAGTGCTCAGTGTTATAGCTATGCCAGCCTATCCTCTGGTGCAGATACAGATAGGTCATCAGAAGAATACTCCCATTTACCTAGACCATTGCTCAGAGAGGAGGGGTCTCTACAGTGATGGAAAAATCCCTGGTCACTGTAGGCTGTGTCTATGCTGCCGGGTTATTCCAGTGAAGTTACACCACTATAGCCATGCTACTCTAGTGCCTGTAACACAGACTCATATCTTTCCCATCCTGTTCACTGCAGATGTCACAGACTCCATGGGGTGTACTCTCAGTGAATTGATTCCCCTTCATGATTATTATCACAGCCTCCTGTGCATCCACCTATTCGCATTATTTTCTGAGCTTCGGACCCTGATAGCAGAACCAGAAAGGAACAGCTGTCCTCTTACTCTGAGACCCCTGTATGACTAGACTCAACTGGCTATGTTCCTCTCCCTCCCTGCACTTCCTTCCTATGCCTCTTTTATAAGCCCTGGGTTGATGTGGGGCCAATTATGTTTTTACTTCCCTCTCCCAAGCTTGATCAGCCCAATCAGCTTTTCCTGGGGTACTAATTAGCATCAAAGAGATTAGGTGTGGGATCATCTACTCACTCTCTGCATACTTTTACGGTCCCCATACTGCAGACATGGCCTTATTTCACAGTGGGTTGTGTCTATTCAAAGCAGAGCTGAAACAGGAATGTCTGTACTGTGTGTAAGGGTGGCCCCACTCCTGGGTCCTGACACGCCGCTCAGGCCTACCTCAAGTAGCCTCAGTCCTGCATGATTTGCCCTTGGCAGGATTTCAGCTCCAGTCTCTCAGCCACAAAGGTTTTGGGCCAATGTCCCAGGGTCAGCCTGGGCTGTGAAAACAGTCCTGTCCAGCTCTCCAGCTGGGCTCTCAGGCTGCCAGCAGAGGGAGGGACTAACGACTCTGGTCTGAGGCACCTCACTCTCCACCACTTAGCTATCTCTGGCTGGGCTGGGCTGGGCTGTCTTACTCTCCTCTCCTCTTCTCTTCCTGCCAGGAGGAAGTCCTTTAAACAGGTTCAATGGCAGCCTCAGGTGAGATCAGCTGCCTTTGCTTAATTTGCAGCAGCCCTATCTCTGTTGCCCCTAATTGCTCAGGGCTGTGGCTGTCTTTCTCTCCATCTGCTGTAGTCCTCCAGCCTGACTCTGTCACAACAGATTTAGCCATTGTTACATATTAGTCTCTGAGACTTAGCAATATGATATTTTTATGTATTTATTTAGATAAACCTTTTGTATAGCAATGGCTCCCATCTTTCCTAACTAAGCAGGCAGGCAGAGACCTATATAGGGGATATGGTAATAAATCTGTGGCCATCTACAAATATGTTTGTTGTCTTGTGGCACTTCACACCCTCCTAGGATTTCACAATGACTCTTGGGGGTTGGGAGAAAAATTAAGATTATTTTATTCCACAAACACAGCCCTAGATCCCTTGATCTAAAAGGGAACTTGCAATATAAAGCACATCAAGTTATTAAAATGAGCAATAGCAAACTATCACATGAAAGGTTCGTGATAGATCGAGTTCAGGGGGAAGAAATACTACAAATCTTGTAAAAGTCTGTGCTTCATAAAATTCCTAATCTGATTTTACATATCCAAGAACAATGGACAAGCCTGGAATCATCATCAGTTACTTTGGATACTTTTCTAAAACAAGACTCTAAATATTCTGCATTAATTACACCCAACACTAAAACCCTTCCTCCCTGAAAACCCGAATTGACCTCACTTTACTGATTCTCTGCCAAAACTCTTCAGCTGGTCTCAAGGGTCAGTGACACTTGTCAAGCAACAGCACTCTGTGTACGGTGCATGGCATTCACAGTAAACTGACTCAGTACATCACTCCATGGTATGGAATTGTGCACAGAGATCCAGAAACCAAAAACAGATGTTAAAAAAATGATCTAGTTCTTGAACTGATAACTGTTATTTTAACTTATACTATTTCTTAAATCTCATGCAAGAGGCTTTATTTTATTTTATTATGTGCATTAACAGATATAATTTGGAATAAAATATAAAAGCATAGAAATAAATCTAGGAAACCTAATCTTTAGCAACAACAATGTTACAAATGAGGACATTTTATAGAGTAACTTAATCACACATGCACACACTACAGCAGGATTTTATATCCATTGAGATTTGGGTTTGATATGGCAGAGAGAGAATGTGCTAAATAAACTGAACACAATGTATATTGGAAACCAATGGGATTAGAATACAGTCATTGGAGAATATATTGTCCCACATGGTAGAGGACATAACTTAGTAGAAAGGAAGACAAAAGTGATTCTCCTGAGGCTTCAGTACACAAATTGACCTGCAGTTGTATCTAACTCTCTAGATTCCAGACCTGCTAAGCACAGCCTGTGCTGCCAAAAGCTCTCTCAAATTTGGCAGACATGAAGCTGACTGCACTTCAGAGGGGTCCAATAGGGGAATGCCAATACAGCAAACTATCTTACCTGCAGTTATTTCCAAGAGTAAGGGCTGCTGTTTGATTCTCTTCCACCTAGATGTACTGGCTCCAGAAGGCAGTGCTTTGCAAAATGATATCAACCTCAAGGGCTAGCACAGAGATGCCATTCCTGCCATTGCTATTTCCAGAAGGGTCCAAGCCTACTCAGCAATACTCATGCATAGCTGAGAATATAAACACCAACACCAATGCATTTTATAAAACACTGTCTATAGTGAGATCCTTTGTCTCCCAAAATCCAGTAAAACAGAGGTACATTTAATTATTTCAACTAGATCAAGAACACAAGACAAACAAAAACAAATCAAGTTAAAACAATGGCTGGGTATATTAACAAGACACAGCTGTCACTCTCAGGCTATGTCTAGACTGCATTGTTTTTTCAAGATACCGGAGGTATCCTGGAAAAGCAATGCCATGTCCAAGGAATGCGTCCGTTTAAAAAAAAAAAAAATTCAAAAAAAGTGGATGCGCTCTTTTGCCATCCCTGTAAACCTCGTTTTACAAGGAATAAGTGATGTGTCGAAAGAGCACTTTCTTTCAACATTTGGCACCTTGTAGACACATCAAATTTTGAAAGAGCCTCTTTCAAAAGTAAATCCAACTGAAACTACAGGCAGTCCCCGACTTACGCGGATCTGACTTATGTCGGATCCGCAGTTACGAACGCAGCTTTTCTCGCCCCGGAGGACACGGACTGCGGGACCTCGCGGTCCAGCCGCCCGCGTACTCCGGTGCGAGAAAAGCTGCTCCGCGTCTCCCTGGTTTGCAGACCAGGAAGACGCGGAGCAAAGCCGCAGAGGGGCTCCCGGCGGCCCGGCGGGCCCGGCGGGCCGGGGGG